TGACAGAAATTTTAAGAAGAAGTCGGACACTAACAATTCTATTCGATCGTTTGTGTTATTAATAAAAATTAGCTTAAGTTTAAGCGATAATGGAAATTTGAATAAGAGTGTGTGCAATAACATATTATTAGTTGAAATTTTCCATTTGATGAAAAGTTCTTTTCAAATGAGAATTAATAGTATATTCTTTATAACTATACTCAAATTAATAATATATATTACAAGCTTTTTCCCTCTCACTAATAATACCTTAATTTTGAAAGTATGGAAAAACTAAAATCAAATGAAATGAATTTATGCAAATAATGCTGCCAGTGCTTTGCATAAATTATTTGTCATAATTCAATACAATAATTAAAATAAAATTACTCAGTATGATAGATTAAACATCAAATGATTTTATTGTTAAATTGATTTGTTATCTGTTATTTTATTGTTAAACATGGATTGTCATTCTTACTATTATAGTCATATTATTATTATAATCACTATTATAATCATTTTTTACAGATATGATCCTTTGACAGTTTTTAATAAAAGCTCTTTGGCGATCGTTGTCCTTCCACGAATTTCGTTCAATAAACACTATTTCATTTATTTCAATGAAGACGTCAGCCTCTTCCCAAAATTTCGCATTATGTGGAAGATTGTAAGAACATCACAATAAAACTATAAATAAGCAGTACAATTTCGAATATCCTTAATCTGTCATACTATTTTCTGGAATAATACTTTGACACTTTAAAATGACATTTCCTGATTTTTGCTTGTGCGTTTATATAAATGCAGTATTCGTCTGACATCGTGATAGTAGCTTGTATGTTAAGATAATGCAATATTGATTTCTCTAATATCATAATAATAGCTTGTGCGATAATGAAATAATAAAGCACCCGTAGAAGGCGCACACACTAATAATTGTGCAATACATTAAATGTAGAACTATAATAAAGCTGAGGCATTTTTCTAAATTCTATTCGGTTCATTGGCTGTTAAAAACAGATGTTAATCGAAATTCTCGATAATATTAGTAGGGCTAAAATTTTCTAGTTGAACATTGCCAATCATCACTGATCTCTTCCAGCAATTGGTATCAAGCGACATTGGAAAAGCTTCTTGCCATACAGTTTAAAAGAAGTTAGTTTTAATAAAGTTTATTTTCTATTGTAAGTTGAATTCCGGCATGCGAAATTTTTGGTCTTTTTTTCTTGTTGAAATTTCAGTAAGAGTGTTGAAATTTCAATGTGTAATGGGATATTATCAGTTCTAATTTCTCATTTGATGAAAAATTCCTTTAGGGTGATAATCAATAACATATTTTTCCACATTTTAATCAATGATATATTTTACGGGATTCTTCCCTCCCTCTAATATTATCTCAATTTTGAAGACATGGAAAAACTGAAATGAATTTCTGGAAATAATGTAACCAGTGCTTTGTATAAATCATTTGCTACAGTTCAATACAATAGTTGAAATGAAAAAAAAAATTATCATTTTTCGTTATCATTCTTTGAATCATTTTTAACCTAAATTTATCTTTCACTCTTTTCTTTCTCTTTCTTATTTTTATTATTAATTCCACAGATTTGAAGAAATTATGCATATAGTCAATTTCAGGTTATATGTACTAATGCACCTTTTCAGTACTTTCTTATTGGTTTTTTACGCTTTTATCGTGATACAAGCAAGTTGTTTAATGGATTAATTTTAAGCTAGAAAAAATATGCTTGAAGTTATGATTCTAATCTGTCGTTAATGCGTCCTTCCCATTACGTCATAAAATTGATAGACCTGAAATTATAATCGATGCCTTAGCAAAATTTACCAACAAATATTGGAATATAAAATTTAAACTTATGCTTTATTATACTTTCAAATCACAATTTATCACTATGAATGAAATTTCATAAGCCAATCTTCAAATTTGTATTGCAACTTAATTGGAATTCTTGAAGTACTTCAAATATGTATTTCATCTTGACAGCACTCATTGTACTCGAGCATTGAATTTTTTGTTTTGCTTATTCTCTTAGAGATGTTATACCGGTAAGTACATAAAGTTATTACAGATTTTAAAGCGTCGAACATTTTGGAATTATAAGAGAAAATTTATCAAAGCGACACGTATTATTTTCATTGTATGTTGAGCGTAACTATTGAAAAATATTGAATACATTTCTCGATATGACAATTTTCGACACTACATTACATTGTTGCATTTGTTTTACATATCCAGAAAGTTGAAATTAAGCTTCAGTTGTAGTCACCATGAAAATAGTAGGACAAATACCGTTAATAATCGTTTAATGTTGCATTTTGTTGCATTCTATGCGACCATCTCACAAAGAATTCTTGAAATGTTCCTTTGTTTTATGAATTCCGGAATGATTCATATCAGAAAATATAAATGTAAATTTTTCTTCGAAACTTGTTTTACCAAATTCCAACTTGAATCTTCAAATTTTTCTTGCATATTCGGCAATCTCATAATTTTGCAATTAAAATTTCTAGATTCTACTGAATCGATTGCTACTTTACCTTCATTAATTGAAAGATGTAAATAGAAGGAATTTCCCATTCGTTTAAGATTTTTATTAAAGAATAATCTACTGAAAGAAATAATGATTAAATATTCGAAAAAATTTGAAAAATTTAAGATTTCAGTATCAATGCATCTTATAGATATTTTCCCATTGGTTATCAGCACTGCTATCACAATCCAAGTAAGCTTTCTGATGAATTGTTATAAACAGTATGATTTGTAGCATTTTTTGCGAAATATTTCCAAATTTTGTTTTCATGCATGCGTTCCATCATTAAGAGGACCGCCGGGGCCACCAGGACCGGATGGAATCAGTCGATCGAATCTTCCTTGGTTCCGTTTTGTACATTTACTTATGGTTCCTCTCGCAGAAATTAAAAAGATGATATTGCTGAAGAAAGTTTCGAGTATTAAAGCACATGTTTGAAGCATTTAAAGAATTTCATTAAGTTCAGAAAACGAACTGAAAGTTTGACCCAAGAAGTTTTATCGAATATATTTGGAAATGTTGTACAAGATAATTGCGAATTGAAAATATAACAAGGCTTTACTCCATAAAATTTTAAAACTTTATACTCAAGCACTTATAATAAAATTTCATCAGTTTTAGGCCTACGAATTTTGATCATAATAGGAAGAAAACATCAACGATAGAATAATGAAAAAAAGCACTGAAATAAGAAAATTGATATCACCGAATGGGAAGGCCGTTACTTCGTTATTTACAACAAATTTCATATTCCGTTTCTACCCACCACCACCCATTGGTCCTCTTGTTCCCATTGGCCCTTCAATACCTTGTGGTCCCTCTGGACCTCTTTGACCTTGCGCTCCACTTGGCCCTCGCTCTCCTCGCTCTCCAACTGGTCCCATGTTTCCCCGAGGACCTTTTATTCCTCTCAGTCCTTCAGGTCCCTCTTTTCCATCAGGCCCATCCGGTCCTGGTGGTCCTGGTTCCATGTTTCTCATCTGCGATGGAATGCATGCCTGAAAAAGTTCATACATATTTGGTGTCCTACAAGAGTTACATTGGGACATAATCTTGGAAACAATTCATTGGGGAACTTACTTGCGCCACGGAAACAGCGCAATTGACCAATAGGAAAGTACTGAAAAGGTGCATTAGTCTGAAAAGGTATAAAATCAGAAATTGATTTTTTATAGATAGTTAAAATTTCCGAAATTTCCTTTAAAATTTTATTTTGAAGTTTTGCAAAAAAGGAAAAACAATGCCAAAAAATTCTTCTAAATTTTGTAGCATACAATTAATTCCCTAGAGCAAATCATAACTGATATAACAGAATTTTAAAATTCCATTTAATGATTGTAGTGCTTTTGAAACAATGAACTATAATTAGCTGATTGGAATGAAGAAAAGTCACTTAATAACGGGGTCTAAACACTTAAATGAAATTAAATGAACATTTTAATAAGAAATTTTTATTTATATCAGGGAGTAGAATACCTGGTGTATCTCTAGAATTCTTGTGAAATGATCGCATCGAATGCAATATTAAATTATTGGCGGTATTTGTAAATGCTAAACGGATGTGATTCATATCAGACATCCAACTTTCCAATATAAACAGAAAATTTCTCTTCTGGATTCGCTTCATTAAATTTCAGTTTGAATCTTCCTTCAATCCTAAACAAGAAATTTTCGCTTATATCAGAGAATAGAATCCTTGATATGAATGATTCCGGAATTTACAAAACAAAGAAATATTTCTAGAATTCTTTGTGAAATGATCGCATCGAGGCGTATTAAAAGATCATTAACGGTATCTGTAAATACTGATTTCATGCTATGATTTAAAGTGAACTTTTCAGGCGGCAGGAATAATTTATTTCCCATTATGACAATTTTCTATTTCACAATCCACTGCTTTGCCAGAAATGCAAGGACTTTCAGACTCGAGAAACAATTAATTGGCTAAAAACCGACATCAGTGAGATACCTTAATCACATATATATATAAAATATATATAATACTTTTTCGTCAAAACCAACAATGAAGTTCTCGAAGGCTCAGGATCTGGAGAGACATGAAGAAATAAAGATAAAATTTTCCGTTTCTCAATCCTTTCTTGTCTCTCTCTCTCTCTCTCTCTCTCTTAAATTTTGCATTATTATTTTGGATAAATTTCATAAGATTTTAGGATGAAATAATAAAAGCTGAGAAGATTAACAAATTAACATTAATTAACATATATCACCTATTCTTCCAGCCTTTTGTTGGTTGCAACGAATATAAATTAGTGTGTGAAGGTCATATCAAATGCTTTTCAATTTGATCTTTTCATTTTGTATACATTGTGTTCAACAGTTCTGCACGAAAAAATTTCTTTTAACTAACACGAATTTCTACTAATATTTTTAAATTAAAAGAATAAATAATTAAAAAATATTAATTGCAATTTACCGCTTGTAGTATGTACCATTTTTGGACTATTAAATGAAATTTCCTTTAGAAATTATCGGCAATGTTAAGTAACTTTTAAATTTTAATTTTAGGGACAGTACTTGTGCACATCATTTCTTATCCATCCCTTTTTTATGCTCACTGAAAATATTATGCTTATATTCCCATTACATAATTGACAGACGAATTTCTTTTTTGTAAATTTGTTATCAATATTTTATCAAATCTGTAATCTGTTCCTTTTTTATTGAATAATTGATGACGAACGATCGGAATTTTATTACCTATTTCATATTTCTAAAGTTGTTAATGAATCCCTCTTAGTGTCGCTATTATTAGTCGCAATATCAATATTGAGTTGGTTAATGCTACTCTTTGTAAATGTTGGATGATTGATTATCAGTAAGGAATGAAATTCCTTAAAGACAGGTATTGACTAACCTTTATTATGATTTTAGAACTTCTAATAAGTGTGTTGATCAAAATGATCAACACACTTATTTAGAATCAAAATGATCAACACACTTATTAGAAGTTCTAAAATCATATAGACTGTCTAGCAAAATCTATGCGATAGTGATAACGATCATATTAATAAATTGATGTGCAGTGAGTAACGAAGTCAGTGAACTGACAGTAATTTGTCAGTTTCATCATTAATTGGCTACTTTGAAATTATTTCAAATTTGCTTAAGATTGAAAAAAGAAAGTCAAGAAGTTTCGAATTTTCTGAAGCAAAAATTTTTGCGATAATTCTGCTAAATTAGCAATTTGAAATTTTCAACCGACAAAAACTAAATAAGATAAATAGAAAGATTAAATTGAGGTGTGAGACATTTCAATTTATTCCTATAATCAAATATTGATGGCAAAAGTTTATGGATGCTTCTATCAAAGATGAAAATAATTTCAATTCCATTCGTTCCTCAAACATTAATCATCTGTCGATTTCACTGGCGAATTGAATTTGTATAGCAAATTTTTACATTTGAATACAGGACTAAATCCGGAAGTTAAGAAAACCGGTGTATTAGATAAGAAATGAAAATCAAAGCGTAAAATCTGTCAGATAAACAACGATGATGCGTAGATATTGTCCGTGGATATTGAATATTCAACAGTTCATTCTGTACCATTCATTACTTTGAAATCAACAGTTCAGCTTTCGAAAATATCGCTTACCATATAAAACATTATTTTCACACCAACATTCCACACTTCCATTAATTTGAATCTTATTTAATTCATTTCTCGAATTCGTTAAAATTTATTTTAAAAAAATAATTTACAAATATGTGTGAGTGTTTCGTTGATTGTTTATTTGTTTATTTATTAATTTTTCATTCGTTTATTTGTTTGTTTATTTATTTCTTTGTTTGTTTATTTATCCATTTGTTTGTTTATTTGTTTTGGAGCAAAAATAAAAATTCGGAATAGATTTTTGAGTTTGTTTAAAATAAAAAACATATCTAAACAATTTCTAGCAAATTGAAAAATTTCAAATCGATCGATGAAATTTAATCGATCAAATGTTAACAGAAGAAAATAACGAAAAGTTAGAAAAACGACAAATTGAAGAGTTTGAAAGATAATTCTTATCAACCATCACTCATGTTTCTTTAATATAAGAATGCATAAAATAAATTTGTTATTTGTTTCTTTCACTACTACCACCAACGTCACCATTATCATCAATAAGTTGCTTGTGAGAGCAGCTGCTTATGCCAATTCTTTTGGTGTAATACTCAAATTTCAATCTTAACTTTTCTATCTTTTCTGTTTAGCTCTTTCATATGTTTATCTTAAATTGATAAAAATGATAAGTTCGTAATCAAATTGTTTTCCTTTTGAAAGATAATTATAATAATAGCAATTAATTTAAATATACACAAAATTCTTTGTTGCATTTATTTACATTTTAAGAAGAAATGAAAAATTATTGAAGAATTATTTTAAAAATATCAAAATAAATTATTAGTTATTGTTTATCAAATATTTTTGTTATATTCACTTATGATATGGTATTACGATTTCTTTTGACATTTCGGTATCTCATAGTGAATTTGCTCGACCTGCAACACCAATACGATTTTTGATTTAACGAAAATTGTTAACGCGAAAATATCGATTGGAGTGTTTTTGAATTAGTGTGTTTGCTTGCTGAACATTTCGACGACTACTGTTTCTAATTTAGGATTAAATTAATGAAACTCTTATTGCTATTCCTTCTACCAATCTCTGTATGTGCATTATTTGGTAGTAAAAAAAACATTACCGTAAAAGGTAATGTAAAATGTGGTGGATCACCGTATAATGCTGTTAAAGTGGAACTATGGGATGATGATACATGTAAGATTCTTTTTTTTTGAAATTATTTTGATCAATTTCAATTTTTAGGTTTAAATTTGATAAATTCAATGTTTATGCAATGCAGTGCAAATAAAAGTTATTGTTTTATTTGATTAATAAACAAATAACGACTATTTATCATTAATTATATTTAGTCAATTTTGATGATCAATTGAATTCGACGCATACCGATGATGCAGGAGCATTTCATTTATTCGGCGAAACACGAGAAATTCGTAACATCGAGCCGTATCTTCTCATGAAACATTATTGCGATGATGGCCGTCATGATGTGGTAAATGAAATATTATGCAAATTAGAGGATGTCATTTAAATTAATATACTCGGAATTAAATAAGAGAGATTCAACTCATGCTCTATTGATTTCACACTATCATTTTTGTTTCTTCCATGATCTCACGACCAAATTTTCTGCTCTTCAAAAATAATGAAATCGTTGTGATAGTCCTTAGTTGTAGGAAATATTTAAAATTAGAAAATCATACTTAATCTGAAATAAATGTGCAACTATTTAACTTTGGGTTTTAAATTTAACTTCTATTGCAACTATTTTACTTCGCGTTCTAAATTTAACTTCCATTTTTTGCTTTGTAAATCTTTTATTATTTCACGAATTGTATTAATTTTTAAATTTCAAATTGAATAATTTAATTTTTGAGCTCTAGAATTAAAACGCTGAAAAACTGCTGTAACATTTCAATTTATTTTCCTAAAATTGTTGGGATCAAACTTACCCATTTAATATTCATTTTCTTGCAGAGATGTGTTCATACAGATCGATATAATGTCCCTAAAAGCTATCAGGGATCGGTCTACAATTTGCAAAATGTTGACTTGAAAACTCCAACAGCGAAAAGAATAACAAAATGTTACTAATATTCAAAAGAATTATATTTTATTTGTTTTAAAATTAATTAATACTTTGTATGATTTACTTAATAATATAAAATACTATATCTTGTTTCGTTCTTTTTTTTAATTCAACTTTATGACCCGAGATTTCTATGTAGGATATTACGGAGATGAAAGAAAATAAAGTATGAATTCCGAAAGAAAGCTTGCAATACCGGTTGTTTGTTTCATGCAGTAGTTTCAAATACTGGTATAGAATGAATCAAATCAAATCAAATTTATCAAGCTAAGAGATAATTTCTCTTGGTTTATATGGATTAGATTTCTTCCCGGAAGTATCTTTCGTAGGAATTTTCATGTCGTTCATTCGTCGCTACTTCTATAATCCGTTACCGTAATCAAATGGTTATTTTGTAAATGATAGAAATCTATTATTTTGCGTATACAAGAAAAGTAATGATCAATTTGATTTAGACAAATTCATTAATTCAGGAAAGCAAACACTTCATTCGTCCGAGAAAGCAATCAGTTTTAATAATCAAAATTTTGAGAAGCTATAGCTGGTGGATGAAAAATAAGAAAGATGGACTCTTAACGTGTACACCTAATTATTGCTTCCAGCCTACTGCATAAAAATCTTCTCTTCCTCAAGAGATGGTAGATATCCACTATATCTATCAGGATATAGGCTACAATAAAGTTCAACTTCGTTACACTATCATGGTTTCGTCATCCAATTAAATTGCAAGTGTTCCAATTGAATCGCAAATGTCAGTCTTGCATATTATTTATTATATTGCATTGAACCAGTTAACCGTCTACGCATTCCGATTAATCGAAATGGTGGAATTTCTTAGCACTCGTTAATTTAGCTCACGTGATAGAATACCTTTACAATCAAATTTACAGAGTAATAGAGATTAGATATATTATGATTTTTAGTGCTTTTAACTACCAATGAAAAATTTTCAAATTTTTGAAAACATTTATTATAATACAAAATTCTAAAGTTATTTCAGGTTTTTTTAAATTTAAAATTTGAAAAATTTTCCATCATTATATCGTTAATTATCTAATTATCATCGCTTATCTAATTTTATCATTAATTATCCAATTAATTATCATCAATTAATTGCTTAAAATTTATTCATTCTATTCTCAACAAATTGAAATACTGAAGAATTGATTGTTCAAATTTGATTTCAAAATTTTTATGTAAATTAATCATAAAGAAAAGAGAGGAAATGTTAAAAGGTGAATTATGCATTACAAAAGAATCATTTCTTACTTTCTACTCGATGATAGTTGGTCAAATATTCATTATCTTCCTATTCTAAATCAATATAAGAACTTGATAAATTAACGAAAAGATAAGATAGAACGATTTTCAATCTGTCATTAGCGCAATTTTTCACACATATTCGCTTACGTTACTTTTTTGGTGTAAGTTTTAATTTATTGTTTGAAAAAAATATTCGATGATATTAATTACTATTTCATATGCATAAATATTGTATAATTGTTTATAATAAAAAATGATGGAAAATTTTTTTTCAATATTTATAAATAATTTATAAATTAATTGCAATTAATAATCTGTTCTTTTTTTGTGTAATTAATTTGATATTCATATCTTTTCTAAATTTATTTTATAATATTAGTTTAGTTTTATTCAGTTTAAGACAATTTTTATATCATTTAATGTGATATCTTTCATTTTTTTAAATTACTTTTTCATTCATATTCATTTATAAATTATTCCAGTAATTCAATTCATTTCCTAAATTACATTTATAAGTTATTCGAGTAGTCCAGTTCACTTCCTAGTTACATTTATAAGTTATTCGAGTAATTCAGCTCATTTCCTAAGTTATATTCATAAATTATTCCAGTAATTCAATTCATTTCCTAAATTACATTTATAAGTTATTCGAGTAATTCAGCTCATTTCCTAAGTTACATTTATAAATTATTCGAGTAGTCCAGTTCATTTCCTAAGTTACATTTATAAGTTATTCAATTCATTTCCTAAATTACATTTATATATTATTCGGGTAATTTAGTTTTGTAGTAATAAAGGGATGCAATATATAGTTGAAATGAAATAATAAAATAAGACAAGTAAAGTTTAATTTAAATGATCTCATTTACAGCTTCTTTTTTAATTCTTTCCAAGTTGTAATGAGCCAAGGAGAAAATGTTGGATGGAAGTGAAGATGATGATGTTTATGAGGATGATGGTGCAACAGCAATTTTGGTACCACCAACTTATCGTGTTACTGTACAAATTGAATATGAAGAAGGAGAACCGGTGAATATATAATTTATATAATTTGAAGAAATTTTTATTTCCTTCATCTTTCTTAATTTTATAAATTATCCATTACTGTAAGTATTAGTTACAAATTTGAAATCCTTTTTTAAAAAAATGAAATGTTCAGATATTTAGAATCAAATTAATGCTATATTAGTTTATGCAAAAATTAGTGATAAAATTTGTAAAATATTTAATATATAATACTGTATTCTGGTGATGTAATTATTTCTTCATTTACAGTTTGGAATTGAATTTGGTAAGAATTTAACAATATTAGATGTGAAAAAAGAAATGCGAGCTGATGGAATATTGTATCCTGGTGATGTAATTATTTCCGTAAATGATGTCATTGTTGAAGATCAGGTGCAATTTTATGATGTAAGTGAATAATTTAGTGCTTTCATTTTATATACAAATTTATAGTAATCGTTGAATAGTTATTTTAAAAAATGTGTCATTGTTGAAGATCAGGTCTAATTTTATGATACAATTGAATAATTTAGTGCTATCATTTAATAAACATATTTACAGTAATCGTTGAACAATTATGATTTTAAAGAAAAACGATAAAATAGAATATTACAAAGAAAGAATACAAATATAAATATATTAACTGATAACTATTATTGTTTATTATATTTAATATTGATTATAAAAGTAATGTCTTATTGATACATATATATTGTAAAATTTTAAAAATTTTGAATAAATTTATTTCGAACTTTTATCACAATTAAATTAAATTTCATGTTGCTTAATTATGATATCATTTATTTTTATAGTTAATAAAGCGTTTATTTCCAATGGTAAAAATAGAAGTGGAACGAAAACTATGGAAAACACCATTAACCGATGTACGAGCTCGACAAATTGGACTTGTTGCTAAAAGGCATCATCAATACTTCATTGCTTATTTGCATCGTATCGATGGAATGAAACTTGGCTTATCAGTCAGGGTAGTTTATTTGTAAGAAGTTATTGATATATTACTATAATTATCATTCATACTTCAAATTAATCATTGAATTCATTTATTTAATTTGATTAATTATGATTTTAAATATTTAAATTTTATTTTGATTATCATTATCATGAAGACATCTATATATTATGTTTTTTTTGTTTTGCTTTTTCCTTTCTTCTCTTTCTCTCTCTGTCTCTCTGTCTCTCTCTCTCTCTCTCTGATATCATAGGAAATGTTAAATGTATTTTTATGCAACGCATTTCTGAATTTACGATAATTTCCAGCAAATACAAAATCAGGTTGTGGTGACGAAGTGCAAAGATCGTAGCATTGTGAGTAAATGTTATCAGGAAGGTGATCATATTCTCGATGTTGATGGTGTTCGGGTAGTTTATTATTTATTAAATTAAGAACTGAATTGAAGTTTAATTTTGAAATTAAAGGTATACAAATCAAATATTGTTGTGTTTATTTTTCGTTACCTATTATCATATTACTACGATATTAGGTGTATTCGAAGGCAGATGCAAAAGAACGGATAATTGCCGGTTTACGAAGAGCATCTTGCGTTTCCACTGTTGTTGAAAGGAAAGAACCTGAAGATCCAACTTCCATGTATCCTTTTTTTTTCGCATTTACATTTCATGATAATCATTTTAAATACTTTGTGTGAATTCTTATCCACTCATTTTAATTCTTATAAATATATGTTGCGCAAAATTTGAAATTCTTAATTCAAAAAAAGATTCGATTTTTTTTTCTGCAATATTTTTGCATAAATTATGCGTAATATGCACATATAGGAGTAACCGAGTGTTACTATTGGTCGGTGATCGAAATCCGAAAATGGCATCAGATGCGGTAAAAATAGGACAACGTGAAGCGGCAAGAATACGTGCATATGCTGGAAAACAGTTCCCATTAAAAAGTATCCTACGTACGTCATCCTACAAATCACCTACTTCATTGCAAGTAAGTATTGGTAAAATTTTCTAATTAAAAGTTGAATGAGATAGAAAATGAAAATATACTTGGAATAAAATTTAAACGATAAAACTTTATTGAACAGCTTCTATAACAAAAACGGAAAGTTTCCGTTTGCATCTTTCAAAATAGAATCATTATTTCAGTTTTTAAATCCTTAGCATATTCTTTCCTTAGAATCCAATGATTCCTTCTAAAAAGAATATTTGACCGGAAAACAAAAGTAGTGAAATTGACCAATGATAATGTAACAGAATTATATTTATCAGCATTGTAGGACACTAAGCAAATAAAATTCATGCAAAAATAAACACACTTAAGAATTTAAATTTAACAAACAGAAATCTAACGATTGATTAATTTTTCCTCTTTTTTTCCTTCTCTTAGTTTGATATGAAACCGATGATAATGCGAGTGGGAAGTGATACAAAAGAACCGAATCGTTTGATGCATGTGAAAAGAAAAGAATCAAATCGAAAATTTCTAAATATTTTATTTGGAAAACGAAGCAATGGTGGAAGTAAACGAAGAGAATCCTAATAATTAAAACAAATGATTTTGTTATAAACTTGAGAAAAAGTACAAAATCGCACGTATATTACATATACAAAATCGCACGTATATTACATGTACAAAATCGCACGTATATTACACATACAAAATCGCACGTATATTACACATGCAAAATCGCACGCATATTACACATACAAAATCGCACGTATATTACACATGCAAAATCGCACGTTTATTATTAATTTTAGAATGATAAAATAATTTTTATACATGTCTGTGTGCTTTACTTTAATTCATTGCATTGATAAAATGAACAATCCTATACATATCATTGGAATAAGATTTACATATCTGTAACCAAAATATATGAAACTATTTTTTTAACAGATCCTAAAACTTGTTCAAATTTTTCTGTCTTACCCGTGATAATATTAGCAAATTTATGTGAAATTTCAAAAAAGTTTAATGTATGGATAAATTATGTTGATATTAATCGAAGAATTTTTTCAGTATCAGTAACAAATTTCATCTGAATAAGTATTCCGGTAATTTCATTTATTTCGTAAAATTATATTATTAATATCAAGTATCTCAGTAAAAATTTACTGATTAAATTTCATTAGTTTTTCTGTCAAAATTGTAAGATGAGTTAATAATAATAATTAATTAAAATTTTATTAATAATAATTAATTGAAATTATTTCGAGTCTATTAATTTTCCTGATAAAATTTTAGAAATCACAATGATATTACTCACATTAACCTTTATCAAAATTTTGTCAAAATCAAATTTAATAATTAATGCATTTGTCGTATGGCTTTCTCACTTTTAGTATTTAAAAAAATTTATTTGATGAAAATTGCGATCGACCAATTAAGCTAAGAAATATTTGATTCGTTTCATTTTCTTCTTTTTATAAAAACAAATCATAATTAAAAGACACATTTTATAATTATCATTAGCCAATGATAGTTTTCATAAAAATTAAATTTTAAAATTTGCATAACTCTTTTTAAAGTCCTAAAATTTTCTTTTCTTTTATGGCATATTCTTTTCTAGAAAAACAAGCTCACTCTTTTTAGTTAAGAAAATTTATTTTCTAAAATAAAATATTTGGCAAAATTATTAATTCAGGCGATTTCGACGCAAAAGAAAATTCATCCATTGTTAATTGATTATAAAAAGAATCATTGATAATTACCATAAAAAATATTATATATATAATTAATTAACAACAATGGGTGAATTTCTTCTTTTATGTCTGAATCGTCTGAAATAACAAAATATTGAGGTATTTCTATTTTGCAAGATATTTTATTACAAATGTAGTATGTATTTCTAATCATACTGAAATGTGATGCAAATTAAATAGCGAAGTATTTTGCTAAGCATATCCCAAATAAATCCTCTAAATCTTATGCTTAAGATTATCATTTGTTCAAAATGAAGTATGAAAAAAATTTTTCGTTTTAAAATTAATCAATTTCAAATTTCACTTTAATAATAATGGATTGAATTTAGAAAAGAAGCAATTCATTTGTATTGAAATAAATTCCTCTCTCTCTCTCTCTCTAAACTATCATAATTTTGTGTTGCAGTTTATAAAATTTACTAATTTCTCACTTTTTCTCTTTCATAAATTTGAAATGATTAATTTGAAATGAAATCCATTTTCATCAGCCATCCATAATCTTCAGATTTATTCTGAAAAATGTTCAATTCATCATTTCTCACTTTAAAACTATGAATAAGCATTTCATTTATGATATTTCTATTTTTTCGTCAAAATTTTTACAGATTGAAAAATTTTGCATTTTTCGAAATAATCAAATTTTCCATATCAATGAATTTTCCATATCATTTTTCGAAATAATCAAATTTTCCTTATCAATTTTTTGAAAAATGAAAAATGAAACTGACTGATAAGTAAGAAATTATGAAATAAATTTGGTTGAGCTATTTATAGAACTTTTCAACTTCAACAACTTATTTTATTATCAGTTGATTATAGTTATTTTGCCTATTAGAATTTAATTTATCGACAGCTAATAAAAATCAAAATTTTGTCCTAAATTTAATTTTTTAATTATGTTTGTGGCATATTTCAACCATTCTATAATTTAAATGTAGCAATAAGTCAGAAATTATTTCGAGATCATTGTTTTGCTTCAAATTATAGACCAAAAACTTTCTAAGTTTATTTATCTCGAAAAAAAATCCCGTTTGAAAATTTAATGATAAATTTTTTTCAACGTTTTATTTTATATGCTAAAGTAGATTTATGTATAAACAACAGGAAGAGAGAAATATAAAGCTACTGGAATTTTGTAATTTCAACATTTGATAATAGAAAAGAATATAAAGCAATAATATTTGCTAATTTCAATAATTGATAAGAAGTGTTTTCCAATAATTCTTACCAACCAAAAATTATACAAATTAAGTATTGTTTTTTTTTCTAAATTTAATTATAAATTATAAATTGGGTAGGATAAGGCTAATAATTGCAAATTAAAATCAGGTTAACTTTTGAATTTTTTTTAATCAATTATAGGTTGTAAATTAGGATAATAATTTTTAATTAAAATTAAGTTAACCTCTAATTTTTTTTGAAACTTCATTATAGATTGCAAATTAGGATAATAATTTCAAATTAAAATTAGGTTAACCTCTAAATGTGAAAGTTACTAATTTGACGATTTATAAAGAAGAAAGAATTAAATCAAAATTTAACCTTATAAAAAGATAAAAAGAAAGAAATGATTTCAGTATCGAATTATTTGGGAGAGTAACAATTAGCAAAATTACTCCAATTATTTTTTTTGCTCATTGTTCTTGCAAATAATATTGTTGACAGACAGGATTAAAACAAAGAAATACTTTTGCTATCAATTGAGGAGATAGGAGAAGATATTTGGTTATTTTCTTCTTGCAAAAAATTCGATGTCAACAATTGCTGATTTAGTAGAAAACGTTGAAAACGATTATCATTCAAATGAAATAGCATAATCCCGGATATCGGTTTTGTTTACTCTAATTCATCTCCTCTTATTTATATTTATTTTATTGCTTTATTCAACAATTTTCTATGGTATTAATTTCTTATGCGATATTAATTGCATTCAGATAAAAAGGTATCTTGTGAATTTAGTTAGTTTGAATATTTGTTATTTCTTTTGATGAAATTTTGCTGCAAATGAATATTAAGTTTTATTTACTTTATTAACTTACTTACCAATTAATAATTGAGTATTAGGAATTAATATATATCCTTCTTTTCATTGACTAAACTTCGTTAATTTATTTTGCTTAATTCGATGCATTCATTTAATATGTTAATTCCAGTGGTACTTGAAATGATAATTTTGCTGATTAAGAAGCGAATTATATATCGAAATAATATTTGCAAAAATTATTGAAACAAAAAAGTTTTGTTTCATCGGAAAAAAAATCCTATTTTTCTTTTATAAATAACAAAATATAAATTCAAAAAATTTTTCATCATAAATGAAATTTCATGAAGATATGAATATTAATTTCACTATTTAAACGTATTGCAATATTTTTGTCTGGAAAGAATGGTTACAAGAATACCGGAATTTTCATTTCTGCATGTGAATCATGAATGAGATATCAGAACAAAAATTTACTAAACCATAAATGATACTAGCCATATTTTGCATTTCATCTGTAAGCAAGAATATCTTTTCTTTCTTTTCCACAATAAGACTTCTCAATCATTTAGTTCCTATTAATTTCCCTTTTGTATATCTTTTTTGAAACTTTAAACTACTACCAATATCTCATGATAAATCTTATATATCATCAATAGAATGATAATTTACAGGTATAGTTTAATTTGGAGAAATAGTAAGTATAATGTATCAGAATGCGAAACAATTTCAACAACAACAACAACATTCTATTTTCATTGATAGTGCTGATATTATAAATTCAATTCATCGATCAATTGATGGACAACAAAATTTTAACGTTATGTTTCATAATCATAAGAATATTCAAATAAACTCACGTATCTTGGAATATTTTCAATATCTCTTCAAACGAAATATATATTAAAAAGTGATGAAAAAAGAATTGTATAGAAACATTTGCAATTTATTCAAAATTAAAACAATAACTAATTAAAATTTTTAATCATTCTTGTTAAATTTTTTCAAATAAAATTTAAATAGAGTTGTAAAAAATTTTAATTTTAAAATTTTCATAATTGAATTAAAATTCTAAATTTTAAATTCATTTTTTTAAACAAAATTTAATGAAGGGATAAAATTTCATCTTTAAACATTTCAGATGAAATTTGAAGTATCATTTTTGTAATGTTTGACGCTAAGTGATATTAGTGTAATCATTAAGATATGACAAAACAATTAATAATGACTGCCCAACTACCCACAATGATAAGCTGTAATGATATCAAATCAATCGAATCAGTCAATAATGCAAGAATTTATGCATATCGTGGAGAGAAAATTGCTGGTTTCGAATTACAAGGCATCCGAATGATATGCTTACCACAGGTAATTAATATATTTATACTTGTCACAGGTAATTAGTTAATTCTTACCACAGGTAATTGATACACATTCACTAAAAATCTTGAAAATTCTTTCTTTTTTTGAGAATTCTTTTTTAAATTCTATCAAAAATAATTACCACAGATAATTAGTATATTTATATTTGTCACAGGTAATTAGTTAATTTATGCTTGCCACAGGTAATTGATACACGTTCACTAAGTATTATGAAAATTCTTTTTTTCTTTGAGAATTCTTTTCTAAATTCCATCAAAAGTAATTTCAGCAAAAATTAGATTGGTAAATCTAAGACTGGTAAATTATTTGGAATAATAATTATTTACTCATATTTAATAATTATAGTTAATATCTTTGAAGTAATTCGTAATTCTATAAGAAAATAAATTTATGTCCAAAATTTTAAATTTACAAAAATGATATTTTTTTATTGAAGAGCTTTTAAAACACTAAACAAATACAATGCTGTCAGCATTATTATTATTATTATTAACAAAATTTGTAATAGTTATTTAATGTTAAAATTAGGTGCACTCATTAATTATTTTGCATACCTAAAATTTTTGCATGCCTAAATTTTGCATGCCTTTTTTAAAAATAAATAATACTGAAAAAAGAATTAAGAAATGAGATTTTTATTTATTCAAATTATTAAAGCTTGTAATTTAGTATGAAATTTTTGTTCAAAGTTTGGATAAATTTCTGTCAGCAATTGTCATCATTTTAATATTTATTCGATAATAACATTCATTGATATTTCATTGCATATTTTATTCATATTTCAGGCTTATCAAACATTTTTAAAAAATGTTATCAGTGGTCTTCATATTGTTCACAGCAAACTAAAACGTCTCCAAACTCGACTTGTTATTTGTAACGTTGAACAGGTATAATTGTGCTTCTGGTAATTAAGGAAGGAAAAAGAAAGGAATATAGCAATTCTAATTTCATGTATTATATTTCTGATAGAACTGGAAATAACATAATTATTTAATTATTTGGACTAATAATTATTTACTCATATTTAATAATTATAGTTAATATATTTGAAGTAGTTCGTAATTCTGTAAGGGAGTAACAAAAGAAAGTCTGTTAATGTATTGGAGAAATGAAAGTACCTAAATTTACTTTTTTATTTATTTGTGACGTGCGAGTATTGAACATTATTATATTATTTTATATTATATTAATTTATATTATATATTATCTTATATTATGTTATTATCATATTATATTATATCATAATAAGTCACGCATAATTTACAAAATTTATTTAAATATACGAGAGATTACTTAATTCATGCAGTAATTGTTTACAGCATTATTTAGAATTAAATCACACTCCTATCTGCATTATAAAAGAGAACAGGAAATGTTTATTTTATTTGGATAATATATCGGTTTATGATTTTGGAATGGGTATCCATTTATTATCTGAAATAATATTCGATAATTAAAATTTGCATAAAAAATTTTAGATTCGAGCATTACGAAATTTGGGTGCCATTCAGCAAGGTGTTAATCGTTGTAAATTAATTTCTTGTAGTGATTTCGATCAATTATATGATGATTGTTATAAAATTCAGTAAGTTATAAAAATTAATTAAAGTAACTTTTCTTATTGCTTATAACAAATTTCTTAATCAATTCGTTATCATTGATCATTGAAAATGATATTAAATACTGATCGATAATTAAATGATCTAAAAGGAATTTGTTGCATTTGTTTTCTTTAGGATTTAATTTTAAGAAAGATAATGTCATTCTAAAATGATACTAAATTATCTTAAGAAATTCTATACATGATTTTTATTTCTTTTGTGCAACAATGGATTTCATTTACAGTCATCGATCGGGTGGTTCAGCAAAACGTTCCTTAGAACGGTTGAATACGCAAAATGATATGAGTAAAAAACCGAAATACACTTCGGATAGTTTGTATTATTTCAATATTTCTTTTATCTTCCCGTAATTATTGATTAATTTATATGGCAAAAGTATGATAAAATAATAAAACGGTATTAAATTTAAAATTTTAGGAGTAAATATTTTAAATAATTAAACAATTAAAGAATTTTTTATGAGACAAATTAACAAAAGGGATATTTTTGTTTTTTCATCAATTACCTTCGTTAATTTATTTCTCTCATAGTTTAAGTTCAAAAACTTATAAAAAACCGTATTCACTATTAGTTCGGTAACTAATATAATATAATTAAAGATACGCATTTTACGGTCTTCATAACAAATATTATCAACTATAATCATACCAATGGATCGATCTTTGCATGATTCAATATTATATACCGTACACTTTTGATTCAATACACTAACAATTTATAATTAAAAATACTCATAACGCGGTCTTCATACTAAATATCATCAACTGTTATCATACCAATGGATCGTTCCTTGTATGATTCAATATTATATACTATACACTATTAATTCAGTACACTAACATAATTTATAATAAAATTCACATCAAATATCATCAACTGTTGACATTTTATCTGTTATGCTAGTGGATCAATCTTTATATGATTCAATATTATATACCGTAGTATTTCCATTTTATCCAAATTCAAAACAAATTTGAGAAAAAAAGAACGAAACAAAAAACACTCTAAATATTCTTTTGATCAATCATTATTTATTGCTAATCAATTCAGCAACAAATAATTATTATTAATTAAAAATATGCTTACAATACAGTATTGCAAGATATCACAATATAACTGTAAGATACTTATAAAATTGATGAGAAAATCCTTTGTCAATAAAAAATATTAATATAATATATTGTATAATGCACTGTCTTACGGTCATGCAATATGATCGATCGTAAGAAAATGAACAGAAAATGCTAGATATACATACCTTTTAACTTTTTCATGCGATTTTTCAAAATTTTATTTAAACAAAATATTATTATTATTCGATTAATTTATGCAATGATTATTTTGCACAGAATCAAATTTTAATATCATACAGCTAAATAATTTCTATTTTTTGGAAATTATTTTGCTTGCAGCTTTTTCTTTTTTCCCTAAATCGATTTGTGAAGTTCTTTTTTAAAATATATTTTAATAAAACTTTAAATTCTTTATTTATAAAATATAGTGTAGCTATTGAATCATCTGTAAGTGTTGAAGGAACAGTGGTACCATTTACAACAACAACAACCCAACAGATTGCCGTTCAACATCTGATGGCTGCTACTGCTACAGCTATTACCGCTTCAGAATCATTGCCATCAACTGAACAGACAATGGATATAATCATTCCTGATCATGAATTCAGGTTTTTCTTTTTACGCTAGCACTTATCGATATTAAATGTTTTACATCGTTATCTTATATTTTCAACGATCATTATGTTATTTTCTATATGATATGTAAAATTCATACTTTATTGCCACAAAAAAATGTTTAGCACTTTTACATGTCTTAATATCATTTCATTAAAAAATAACGAAAGTTCGCCCGTATTAATCATTCCATGAAGCGCTTCATTATCATCGATACCGTTGAATTTGACTAAAAATGCTAATAATCATCAATACGAGAATGATAGTAACGCATCGCAGAAAAGAATTTCGAGCGGTAATTCTAAATGCATCCATCAAAACGATTGTTCCATTCAGGTTATTAATATTGTCTTATCTGCATATCCAAAAATTTGATATATAATTTGATATATAAAGAATTTGATATTTAATTTGGTATATACCATAAATATTCCATTATATTATATAGGAGGTTACAGTACATTTCCAAATTATTTAATGCAACATTTTTATCGATTAATAGTTAAGTCATATCATTTTAAGATGATATGATACGATATCATTTTTAGGATGCATCAACTGAATATATGGAAGCTTCACAAGTTATGCTGAGTAAATTAATCTCGCTGATTGAAATAGCAACGTTGAATTTAAAAACAGAACATGAATTGATTGAAAATGAGAAATGTAAAAATTTACTTTTATCTTTAATTATCATTAATATAATAATATTTCCAAAACAAACTTTTAGGAATAAAAATTTTGCATGAAATATTTTTAATACTATTAAATCAATAAACATGAATTTATGATAAAGTAGGAGAAAGTATATTTATATTACAACTGATCCTACACATATGTTGAAACTGTAAATTAACAGATCATATTAATTATCATTACAGCATTTATATGTAAATTAAAAAAAGATTTTGAATGCAAGCAGAATGAATACGATAAGATAAAGCGTGAATTATCCATGGAGCAACAAAAAGCAAGTAAGTATAAATTCATACTGTAACTTCAGGAAAAGGAAGATTTAATTTATCAGGAATAAAATCAAATTCAAATAAATCTGAAAGGAGAAGGTTATTAAATCAATTATAACTGATATGATCGTCGAAATTTAGAATTAGCGAAATTACGTAGTAGCAACTTGTTGCTTAGTAACTGCAAAGTAAAATAGTAAATTATTTGTAACTGGTAGAACTATATCGGATAAAAGAAAATTCTTAAATTCCGGTATCATTTAACGTATTTCATTTTTAGAGATTTATTTCCAACGTTATTGCAAAGCAAAACGTGAATCGCTGAAGTTGAAGGAGAAATTAATCGATTTAAACGACCATATAAATACTACTGCAAAATGCGAATAATAATCAACTCTAAAAGGAATTTTCAAGATGAAAAGAAAACTTCACATTTCCTCAGATCTAATCAACCTATTGATATCTATTATCACTGATAAATTATCGCTTAATGAATATCTGATCTATTTTTCTCTATCTCATTACGCTCATATATACATATAATTCATTCTAGAATAATCTTTTGTGAATAATTTTTTAATTTTATTGTTAATTACTCATTTCTAAGCTCTGTTGAGTTTTTCTTATTTTTATTGCTGGCAGATTCTGAATGGCTACAAAAATTAGTTGTAATAAATTATATGTCTAAATATTATTAGCGCTTGAATGTTAATAATTTTTAAATCTATTTTATTAAGTGTCATTTCGGCCTACAAGCTATATAACATAGTTATTCCTTATATCCGGAAAAGAACTTTCGATTTGCTTATCATTACACTATATATATATATCTATATATATATATATATATATGTTGTGAAATGAAGCGATTTGGTCTGAGTAATTTACAGAGAGGAATATGATTGGGATCAATCTCGTATTGAAATTGGGATTATGATCAATCTTATCAACGTTATTCAACTATATCAGAAATATTGAAGTAGTTGTGGAGGATCAGTGAATACAAGCTAACTGAAGAATTTCAAATTATCAGATCCTTTGGCAATGGTTGTATATGCAGTAGTAAACAATGAATAATAAACAGTAGTAAACAACAAAAATAAGCAGTAGTAAAATAATTGATTGTAATAAACAATCAATTGATTATCTTATAATAAATGAACTAACTGTATCAAAAGTCATAATGTTAATTGATAGAAAGACTAATCGTAATAAAATTTTTTGGTTATTTAATAAAATGAAATCAATAGCAAATAAGAAATCATTGGATAAAATCATTAATGGTATTCGTTTGTAGTAGACATACAATAAGATTAACAATTAACAAAGGATTAATTGAAATTGTATTAGATAAATCGATAATTTAATGAGTTATTTGACGTTAATTATATATATAGTCATATTATTTATAGATAGTTATTTGATAATTATATTTAGTTGATTTTAATAACTTATATTTTTTCATAAAATATTTGATGCAAAATATTCCGATGATCTAAACAATAAGAACATAAATATAAATAAAATTATATAAACATTTATATATATATATATATGCTCTTCGAATATTCAATTATTCCTATTAAATCAAATGGTTATTTTCATCGAAAATCTTTGTTTAACATCCATTTATAATATTCAAACAAATTATGTGAAATTATTTAAAATAAATATTCGACGATGTTTGTAATTTCATACAAAAAGCATATCTGATCATATCTGATTGAATGAATGTTGCAAAAAGAAAGTTCAATATTTTTATATATTTTAATAATGTGCAACAAACTTTTTTAAGGTAAGAAAACAAATGATTTCAGCAAATGGTATTTGTTGTAAAAATGCCAAATTTGCAGAATTTCTTATTTTATTAATTTTTTCATACTTTTTTCATCTCACTTTCAAATGCTTATCAAATTTCGTGATTCAGTTGGTTAGAGTATGGATCGAATAAGCCTGAGGTGACAGCTTCAATCTTTGCTGACAGAAAAATTAAAGATTATTTAGATGTGAATGCTGAATTAATATTTTTATATCAAACAAACAAATTAATTAATCTTATCACCAAGAAATTCATGTCACTTTTTTAATTTGATTAATATAAAAAACTTCCGATTGACACTTCATCTTAGGCTGATATGAAATTTCATCTCTTTTCATCTAACATTCCTACTTTCACATATCATTGTTACAGTAATACATTGTGCTCATTAGACTGAAATTTTTTGATCTCTTAAAGCGTAGCCTAAATCCGTTTGTTATCATTATTATCATCACTACCGTTTTTATGTCATTATCATTAACACTTATCATGCACCCAATTTGTCATTGTAGAAGTTTCAATTCGATTTAATTGGATCCAATTGAATCGATTGAATCGATGATGAAATTTAGAGTTCAGTAACCTTCATCCATAGCCGCCGTAGCTCAGTCGGTTAGAGCGTGGGTCTAATAAGCCCAAGGTCGCAGGTTCGACCCCTGCCGGCGGCAACGACATCTTTTTTCCTCATCCAAAAAAAAAATTGAGTTTTAAATTACATGAAAATTAATCGATTCACTCCATCAGTATTGCTACGAATAATTTGTGAAGTGCAGATGACAATGTTATATTAGAGTGATAATATATTTGAAGTGATATTGGATGGGATGAATTACGAATGAATGGATAACTTTTTAATAATGAGCGATGCAAGAATGAAAATCTTCTCTATCTATGGCGCAATTTAAGTTATATATTATTTTGAATTTTGAATTTGGATTTTTTCAAATTATCAAATTAAAGATATTAAAAATAAAAAGTGGAAAAACACAATGTGCCATCGGCAGGGGTCGAACCTGCGACCTTGGGCTTATTAGACCCACGCTCTAACCGACTGAGCTACGACGGCTCGACCAATTACGTTCTATGATAAGTTGAAAATTTTAACAAAATCGAATTACAATAATGAGAGAATTGAATGGTTTACCTCAATTTTTGTCGAAAAAGATCTTCTGGTATCACCTTTGACCTTTTGAGGGATTTCACAATGTTACAATGTTTGTGCGTTAAATTCGTATTTTATTGTGGAGATATTTTTTAAAAGATTCTTAAAACTTTACTTTTTCTAAAGGCTACGTAAGATCATACCTTACCTGTTAGGATACCACAATAAGCTAGCTCTAACCTAAAATCTTAAATCTCTTCCAAGAGCCTGTTTAATCTATGCTACTATGTTTAATTTCGAATATCGATCTTTATATTCTTTTGTATAATTAATGCAAAAATTTTCTGAAGCCTAAAAATTATTTACATTTTATTCCGGATACTAAGAGTATCGAATGTTTCCATTCATTACAAATGAATTTCTAATTTAAATTTTGAGCTATTTAATTCTTACATTTCACACCAGGCATTTTCTGCTCGAATCTGAAATAAATTTTTAACTTAAGTAATCGAAAATATTTTACAACGTTATATTTATTGCATTAATTAACATGAAATGAAATTAATATATCTCTTGAAATTAAATCAATATATTAATCAGTGAAATATTCTCATAATAGAATAATAGAATTGATAATAGAATTAAATTGATATGTTATTAGGATTGATATGTATAATATGTATTAGGAAGAATATCCAAAATCATTAATTTTTTGTATCATAAAAAATTTAATTTGAATTTAACTCGATTTTGATAAGAATTCAAACTTGATACTTTAAGTTGTGGAATGAAATTTTTCTTTAACTTACACGAGCCTCTTCTTCAGGTGTGAAATCATTTTCGATGTTGAAGAAAGTTCGTAACTCCTCGACAGACTTGCCTTTGATATGATTTGCGATAGTTTTACAGCCATATGAAAGCAAATCGCCAACATCCAAATAATTTGCTGCCTTAAATTATGAACTGATAATTTTCAATTATCTTTTGAATTTATCAATAAATGGATAGAGCATTAAATGCTGCTCACTACTAAATATTGAACATTTGTTAACCTGAACAAGTTCGAAAGGTTCATTATTGTCAGGTAAGGCCAATAAATGGATAGAGCATTAAATGCTGCTCATTACTAAATACTGAACATTTGTTTACCTGAACAAGTTCGAAAAGTTCATTATTGTCCGATAAGGTAAGAAAATTTTGTCGCCAAATTTGTTCTTCCTCTGATTTCTCTGCGTCAGGTGTAAGGTGTACTTGATGTTTGCACCATTCTAGAACCTTTAAATTTTGAAATTAATCAGAAAATATAATGAGGTAGTAAATTTTGATTTACCTTTAGACAAATTAATTAATTACTTTTCTTAATTACTAATTACTTATTACTTAATTAAATTTTAAAAATTTTAAATTTCCCTCTTCTGTCCAAATTTTTTATAATTTATCACTAATTTAACCCATATCGTTAAAGTTTGTAGCAGTAACTAATTTATCGTATATCATGAAGTTTCGTCTAATATTCATTAATCTATTACTTAATGATTTACGCTACCATAAAGGTCAACATCATATTCTTTCAAATGATAGCAAAGTGATTGACGGCTGAACCTTTTTACATTTTAAGAAATAATTTCTTGCAATTAACCGTTTGCTATTAATTACCGGATGAATTTGGTGTCAGTAAAAAAATTAGTGCGGTATTGATTTTTTTTTTAAATTCTTTCATTGATTTTAATTGGAACTATTTGCGAGATCCGGCATTCCGGAATATTTGTAGAATGAAATGAAATAAATCATTTTAATATAATATATACAATATCTTAGCATTTTTCACTTCTTAATTTTGTTTTCCGATTTTTTCGACAGTAATGTTAAAAGAACAAAAAGATTGTTTACTGCAAGTAACTTTGAAAAACTAAAAGAAAAGAACAAAACAAAACTTTTTCAATAGTTTTAGCTGGCAATTGCACAGGTAAATCAAAAGCTGGCTGTGATTCATCAACTTGATCGACCAGTAAATCTAAATGATACTTTGAAATATGAATAACATTCATTCATCTACTTTTTTCTTTTCATAAGCTGAAATTAGCTATTAAATACCTTTAATTTAAAATCAGAAATTAAATATGTTGTGTCGGAAAAATTAGAAAAATACAACAACGATAGGAAAATAAATCTTTTACCTGTTAATACATTTTTTATGGTTTTTGATTGTGATATAACATCCATATCAACAGTTATCTTTTTCCCATCTTCTGATAATAAAACGATGCTTCGCTTATCAGATTGTGTTACATCAGTTTCAGACTAGAAATTTTATTAGCATTACTAATATAACTCCCTTGTTTTTTTGCATCATTGAATTTCTGACTAAGTATTTTATATCCATAAAGTTAAAAGTAGTAAACAAAATAGTTTACAAATTGAAAATTAAAAAAGGCAAAAATTCATCATCAAAAAAAGAAGTATCGGATAACTTAGAAATTCCCAATTAAGTTCCCATACCTTGTTTTTTCTTGTTTTATGAAATTTCCACCGAAACTCTACAACGTTGACTCCGTCACAAGCACAGATCTTCAACACTCTTCCCAAACCTTTAAATCAACAAATATCTATATATAATCTAGTCCTTTCCATTGCACTGCCTGTAGCATATCGGC